AGTTCTTTAGTTCAGTAAGTGATGGCTCTCACACTGTCATAGGGCATCACAAATCCATACCTGATAAGGTTTTGGGGTTCAACTGCCTTTTGCCCTAGATCTCCACTTACAGTGTGGAGAACAGTTGGCTCCATCCCACTGATTTCTGAAAAGACTCATTTACTGGCAAGATGGTCAAATTTGAGGACATCCTCTTAAGCTACTGTCCTACTTAAAATAATAAGGCTGCTCCTGAGTTCTTATAAGTCAATGTAAATTAAAGACATTGTTAAAGGAAAGTGAAGTTTGTAGAAAATTACCCAAGTTGTCCTACTTTCCTTATCATGTGGTCATCCCAGTCTCACAATGCCTTCAGTGGTACCATGTGCCTCTATAATCCCTGAGGCCGACTCCAACTTGGTATTTAAAGATCAAAATGCTATCTGTTTTGCTTTTTTGTTCTTGTTTTTACTACCTTGTTCCTGGCACTGTTTAATGTCATACAGCAGTTACACATTTTCTTCAAGACCAAACTGGATACTTCAAAGATCACGTTATATTTTTACCTCTTTTATTTTCCCATGTTTTCGTGGTTATTATGCTGCAGATTTTGTCTGCGACATGAAATAACTGTGAGGTGGAAATTAAAGTGAGTAGTATTACCTAACGCTCAATGAGCCAGCTTCCTCTGGATAGGAACATATGAGAGCACCAAATGACATTCTGAAGGAGGCCATGGGTAAGTCCGGGCAGTGGAGCTGGTTTGACTCAAAGTCCACCTCCAGGAGCCAGTGGCCCTCAGCAAGGCCCAGGAAGCCCTGCAAGGCTGGAACTGGCTACTCAGCCTGCACCTCTTCATTATTCAGCTCAGCCAGTTATGTGACTAACATCAGGAAAAGATACAACGAGTGCAGATTTTCAAAGGACAAACACTTCGTTGGCTTATCTAGAATAGCAGTCTGTATGTAGCTCTCTTTTCTGTAGTTCTTGCTCATCCTTCACATACCCCATGGCCCTCCGAGGTATGGGTCGTGTCCACAGCCTAGACGCTTCCTTATCCCAGGATTCCTTACAATATGCCGAGCCATGGATTTGGTTAAACTCCGTGGATGGGCGCCTTCAGTGGTTTTGTCTGTCTTCTGTATCCTGCTGCCAGTTCCACGTAATGGATTGGAGGAAGGAGGGAAGGGACTGAGGGGGAAAAAAATGACTGCAAGAGAAACCATGCAGTCAGCTGTGGAGTTTGGAGTCTCGCCTCCCTCTGAAAGAGCAGCTATAATTCCGCTATCCTCACAGTCTAGGAAAAGCAAGAAGCAAAAATCTCACAAAGCTGGCCCTGTCACTTACCAGCCCTGTGTGTACGCATATGCTAGAGGCCAGAGGCAGTGGCACGGTGGAGTTTATGGTGTTTCACAACCTCCCACAACAGTTAGGAAAAAGCTTGCCTGAGTGGAAGAATGAGCTTCACCAAGCTGGGCCGTGAGCATCACCAGTAACACCTGCCCTTCCCCTGTGGAAGGAAGGCAGCCCAATTGTTTAGCACTGGCCATTCCCCTTACACGACTTCTAAGTTATTCTTCGCTCCTGGTGTCGAGTCCTCCTGGCTAAGTCTGCGCGTGTCAAGAGGTATCAACCTGAACCACAGCATACGTGATAAGACCTTCTGAAGGGAGAGGGTAGAAAAACGAGGGCCAGGTCCACATGCAGCTCACCAAGGGCTTTTCGGACATCCAGTAAGCCTGTGAAATATTTTAACTAAAATCAAAATTCAAAAATGCTTTGCATGAAATAAGCAGAACTATAGTGGAAGAATAAACAAATTTTAAGTAAGAACTTCCTCTTTTACTGTTAACCAAGACAGCAAATAAACCTCCAACAGCCAGATGCTTGCCTAGCACCCTGCTGACCATGGCTGGTGGAGGGGCAGCAAGGAGAAAGTATAGTAAAAGCATCATTTTCATTTTCTTTCCAAAGAAGATTATAGGAAAGTCTGTTTATTATTTTTACAAGTTTGGTTTTTTTTGGCAAAGAAAGGTTATATCAAAAATTTTTTTTGAAAGACTAAGGGCAACCATGGAGATACAATGCAAGTAAAAAGGTGAAAAATCAAACCTTTAAGACTTAAAAACTGATTAAAAAGAATAATTGCCTATGAAATTGGAATAGTAGGGAAACTGTCATCTTTGAATTATATACTGCAACTACAATAGAAAGAAAAAGTGTTGGAGTTGCCTAGATTCCTTTTTGCATACATTTTAAAAGCATTGTCTATATTGAAAAGGTATTGTTCTCAAAAATAAAAAAGAAATGCGCCCCTCCCTTCCATAGCACCCTAAAAAGGAAAAACTGTACAAGTTTTATGACTATGTAATACGAATACTAGTAATAATAATTAGAATTACAATATTAATATATAAAGAACTTCCATTGTCCAATATGGGGGGGAACCACACTTTGAAGCCTCTATTCACATGTTTTTAACCAAGCTTTCCATGACTGAGGTCCATTCTACAAACTTGTATTCCTGAGTTTTGGGCTGTGTACTAAAGGAGGTAGAGAAAATTTATTGTTCTAATTCCTTCCTAATCCAATTGTAAGAATAAAATGTCAATTTAAAATATGGACTATCTACAGATGCACATGGGTATTGTAGTAGTCTGTGGACCACACATGCATACCCCTTGAGATAGGCTCGGTGGCTAATTCATCTTTTGAATCCATCTGGCATATTACCCCACCCCCACCACTTCACTGCCTTTTCCTGCAAGTGACCACGAGCAGTGCATCTAAATTTGGCACATTTCAAGGCCAAGTGATGCAGCAAACAGAATTTGACCTCAAACAATGTGCCTTTGTCCCTTCACCCATCCACGTAAATGTATGAACGAACTGTGGCTGGCTTGCTGCAAGTTCAAAAATCTTCATCCCAGAAATGTATTCACTTCCTCATCGAATGTTTACAGACAAGAAAAGACATCTGGATGCATTTGTTCCTCCCTCCATCCCTCACCCCACCTTCAACCCATCAACACATATGCACAGCTGTTGAGAGCAGGAGAGTGAGTTTTAAATCCCATTGGTTCATATAGGCACAGAATCTGAAGCAGCTCCAAAAGGGACATCAAATAAAAAATACCAGTTTTCAAAAGTCTGTAATTATGTATTTACACAAATTACATAATCCTGTACGTATTTACACACGATTACAGATTACCAAGTAAATAACACAATGTTGTAGTGTTAATGAGATGAAATAGAATGAAAACACCATCAACTGAAGCCATTCCTTTATCTACAAAACAGGACCTGGCAGGGCAGGTTCCCCAACGCTGACCTGGCATGTCCTTCAACACTGCTTGGGACATTTGCGTGACAGATGGGAAGGTGGTTCAGTCCATGCCGGGTAAGTCTTTGACCGTGGTGCGAGTGTTGGCACGAACAACAAGAGACTGGTTTGGCTATCTGAGCATCTGTGGTGAAACTGGGACCACCCATTCCATAGTGGCTTGGGGCTGCCATCCAACTGGCTTTGGGATGCAAACCCAGACTGCACCCAACAGGACAATGCCCACACCCAAACCCTGAGCCATCTACTCTCCGCAATGCCTATTTACATAAATTGCATAAGTCAATATTTATTTATTTACAGACCATTACAATTTATTGTATCAGTTGCCAAAAGCATGTAACATTTTGCTTTTATTTTTTTAAAAAGTTATCAAAACAAAATAATTCCAAAAGTAGCCTTTAAAGTAGCATTTTCTAGGAATGCATAAAGGTTTTCACAATGCTTTCTCATTCGTTTAGGCTGATGATCTGGAGTCTCCTGCTACTTTAAGATTACTTTTGACTGTCTTCCAAAATCAATTTCCTCAGTGCTAAGTATTATATCTATGACATCCTGGAAATTTGCTGTGGTCAAGATCCCTGTGGTCAAATGTTCAATCTTTTTTCAGCCTTTTGGAAAAACTACAGCCTGACTATGTGCACATTTTAGCAGCAGCAAAAGGTTAAATAAAAAAATAGGAATACTACTTAGAATTAAATGAGCTTCTGTTTCCAAAGTTAAAGGAAAAAAATTCCCAAGAAAATAAATGATGAGGACATTCTGATCTTTATCATTAATCAGCTATTTTACAGTGCTTCTGTTCCCTCCCTCCAAGGTATTTCTCAATCCCAAATATTAGACTTAGTTTTTCCTTAACGTTCAGCAGCAGGAGAACAGTGCCATGGGCTCCAACTTGGACCACAGGAGGCTACGTGTCTTCACTCACAACAGTAAGTCATGCGCGTCTCACTTCTAACAGCTTGAACTTACTTGCCAGTGACACGCTTTTATTTTTCACAGAGAATGTGCATCCGAGCAAAACAAAGCTAGAATATTAAATTTTAAAAATAGTTACATAAATCCTGACACATTTGTAACTGTCACTTTCAATTTCCCAATGAAACTGGCTAGAAAGTGTTTTGTATGGATGAGAATTTGTTAGAAACTCCTTTTAAGTATTGCTTTAAGAATTTGGCTCTTTTCACCTTAGTATAGTAAGAAAAATAGTCTCCCTTGCCCAAGGGCAAGTTCCAAAATTATTGCTACCAAAGAAATATGTATTCTTTATGCTTTTCAGCATAAAATGTTATAAAAGTCTTGTAAAAGATATTCTATATAGTAACCTCCCCTCTAAAAAAAATTGAGTGCTTTAAAGATCATTTTTTAAAAACAACAAAACACAGCCAATGATTATAATACCTTCCCCCTCGATGTCATTATTGATAAAGATTTATTGGTTTCATGTTGCAAGGTTAACTTGAAGAGTGCTATTATCATGGAATTATGATGGTTCACACCAAAAGCAATTTTCTATAAAAGATGTTACAATGACCCCCAAGGAACTTGTATAATTTCAAATCTGATAGCCAAATGTACAAATAAAAAGTTTACAAGAATGGTCCTGTTAATCTGACTTTTGTCCCTTAAAAAAAAAAAAGTGTCCTATGTAAGCTTTTTATTTTTAATTCATTGTTTGTGAATTCTACATCAGCACAATGTTTGGTGTTATTCCTACTGTTCTGCAGATGGGCTACAATAAAACACAGTCATTGTTTAGCTTTGGTATATCCTGTGATAGATTTAAACAAGTAAGACATATACCAACCCTCGTATTTCCAACCATGAAGTTACAGAAATAGAGTCACTTAGGAGAGAGGAAAATTACAGACACAGAATAAAAGGTTGAGACCCAGTTTATCTTTAATCCTCTGGGGTAAGCTATGAAACAAGCAGTCTGAAGAGTGAAGACTCAGTGTCATGAGCAATGTGCATAAGTTTACAATAATACGGGCACAAAATAGATTGTCGCCTTTAGTACATTAGGGTCACTGGAATTTCTCATTAGGCCTACTTGCATGAAGTTACCACAGGTTCATAGCAGACATTGCCATTCAATGCTTACAGAGCCTAAAGCTTCCAAAATGCCTATCTGGCCTGTACATATTTCATTAAAAATAAACTCTATATAATAAATAAATATATAAAATAAATAAAATGTTGCCTTTGGAATTTCTATAAATAAATTTAACTTTTTTTCTTTTTTTTTTCTTTTTTTTTCTTTTTTTTTTTACTTTTTTCTGGGGTTTTTTTTGTGTTTTTTTTTTTAACTAAGAGGTCTTTGTTTTAAGGTCACTGGAATGATACCAGTGAGAATTAACTGAAAACGTTTTTTTAAGTAAGCCTGCACCCTCCATGCCTTTGAAAATGCAGCCTACCCTTATGCAGGCCGCCAGCCAAATAGCCTGATGAGTCGAAGTATGGCAGCTGTGCTGATACAGGATGAAGTTCAATTGATCAAAAATGTAAAAGCGTGTCTATTTCCCAGCATGCATCAGGCTGTCGTCCTCTGCTCTCGGCTCACTGATTTCCCCTGCTGCTTGCCCATTCACACACTCACACTCTCTCATTCCCTCTCTCGCTCCCCTTCTTTCACAATAAATCAAGCAAGTGGCCGTAGGCAGCCCTCCAGGAGGACCAGCCTTTAAGTGCAGCACAAAATCAGCATGTTCCCATTCAAGCTTCCATCGTACACTATGCATGCGACAAAATTTGGCAACAGTGGAGCTGAGGTGATGACACAGTAATTGACAAGAACCCACCGCATGGAACCAGTTATAGTGGTTGCTTTTCTAAGGGCTCAAGTGAAGAAATTGTCTTTGTCAACTTTGGCTTAGAATATCCTTATATAGTTCAGGTACTTTGTCAGGGTCCACTGGTCTAGGTAAAAAATGTGTGAATTTCTGGTGCCTTTTAGTCCTGGTCCCTTCTCTTGGAGTTCCATCTTTATTCAATGCAACATAGTATCGCCTTCCAGTGTCCACGTGTTTATATAGGTTGGAAGAGTAGGTGTTATACCAGTTTTCTTCAAACTGTTCTCTGAATACACACTCTTGGGTTAGTTTTTCCTGTTTAAAAAAAACAGAGAGAAAAAAATTAGTATGTTGAAAAATTAGCTACTTTCTACATTAAAAGCCCTATTCCACTGTTACATAGGACAAGTCGAGCATTGCTTATTCAAAATGCTTGGGACCACAAGTGCTTTGGATTTGGAGGGTTTTTTTCCTTCAGATTTTGGAATATTTGCATATACATAATGAAATATCTAAATACAAAATTCATTTATGTTTCAAATACAGCTTATCCACATAGCCTGAAGGCAAACTTATGTAATACCTTTTCATGAAAAAAAATGTTTCGTGCTACGGACATTTTCCACCTGTGGCCTCAGGTTGGTGCTGGAAACATTTTTGGATTCACTATGGAGTTCAGTTTTCCAGATTAGGGATGATCATCCTGCATGAGACTGAGAATATTCTGATTTCTTTAACCAACTTTAATGCATTCTGCTTCACCCTATCAATTCAATGACATTTTAATTTCTTATTCACAAATGCTAAACCACGAAAGCCTTCATATTTTCTAATGTGGTGAAACTCCTCCATCTGCCAACTATTATACTCAAAGGACCACTAACACATTGGGTTGTCCTTATCTACAACAATTAGATGGTGACCGTTTCTGGAAGGGCTTTGCCAAAGCCGAAGGCCCAGAAAACCACCTCATCTTTAATGTACTTTTTAGAAAGTACTTGCTGTGTAGAACCACACTAGCAGCATGCCCAGAGTGACCTGCTGTTTTCTGCCCTGTAAGAGTCTGTGTATTACTCTCCAAGGCCATTTCCCAAGCTGCAATGTGCAGTGTTATCTCGAGACGCTTCTTCAAAATGCAGGTGTCTGAAGTACCAGTCTTCAAAATTCTGATCCAGAAATTCCCACAAGAACCATTTTTTGACAGGCCCCTGCGAGAATTCGAAGGCAGGTAAGCCTCAGTCCATATTTTAAGGTACACAGTCATTCCTTGGTATCCTCACAGGATTTGTTCCAATACCCTCTCAACGCCAAGGATAACAAAATCCACAGATGCTCAGAACCTTCCCCCATGCTCCTGTACACTTTAAATCATCTCTAGACTACTTACCATGCCTAACGCAATACAAGTGCTGGGGAAATATTTGTTATACTGTATTATTTAGGGCGTAGAGGCAAGAAAAATGTCTGTACATATTCAGGACAGATGGGACTTTTTTTTTTTTTTCAATCCAGGGCACAGTCTGTGGATATGCAGGGATCACTGCCAGGCTTTCGATCATGATTGAGTGAATCTTCCTGAATACAAAGATGTAAGAACAAATATTCTGTCCCTCCTAGCTCCCGAACTTAGCTGGCAGAAGAGCCTCCTGATTTACAAAGCCCAGTGCTCAGGCCAGCAGAAGCCAAGAGAAAAGCTGGGCTTATCCTTACATCCCCAGAGCCAAAGAGGTTCCCTGTCTTCTGAAATGTCTTCCAATTCCCCTCCACCTGAGCTGTGTGAAAGTGGTCCCATTTAACCCCACTGCCCCACTTGTGAGCAGTAAGGACTAGAAACAGCACAAACATCACATCCCAAAGTCACCAACACACTCCAGGCAGAACTGTGTGCCCTGAAGCAGGCCCCTGGAGAAGTAAGGCAATGAGGTGTGAGGCCTTTGTGCTCTTAACCTCACTCAATTGGAACTTTCTAAGACAATTCTATTAAATATAAACACTAAAACAACCTTTTAAAAATATTTACCTTGATCTTGTCCACCCAGCACCTTACTTAAATAAGAAAACATATATCTCATACCTGCGAGTTCTTTGTCCATGGATTTAATAATCACAAACTGGAAATGTTTGGAATGCAAGTTGCAACTGTACTGGACATGTACAGACTTTTTTCTTGTTGTTATCCCCTAAACAATATGGCCTAACAACTATTTATTGTATTAGGTACTAAAAGTCATGCAGAGAGGATATGCTTAGGTTCCATACAAACATTAAGTCATCCTATACCAGGGACTTCAGCAGATCTAGCATTTGAGGGGGCTTCTGGAACCAATCCCTAACAGAGATCAAGGGATGTCTGTAATCAAATACACATAAGGGTATGTGACATCCTTCTGTTTCTGTCATTCAGACCCAGAGGACAGAGAGCAAACATTATACATCAACAAAATACCAACGCCCTTTTTCACATCCCTATAGCTGAGACAGTGGTTTAATACAGTGAGTTCATAAATACTGGCTCGGTAGAATTATCTTCCATTGCTTGAAGAGAAAATCAAGGGAGCAGAGAATTTGTCAAAAGGGAAAGAATTTGACAAAACCAATCAATGGTCCAGCATGAGGCTGGCTTCTCTGTCTCTTCTTTAATCCACAGGCTTAAGACATACTCCAGGGCTCCTGCAGCCTCAAACTTCCTCATAAGCACTCTTCCAGGTGGCCAAGAGCACTGAGCAAGATGATGTTCTTTTATTTTGTTTTGTTCTGTTTCATTGTTTTGTTCTTGCGGAACTGAGCCCTGGGCCTTGTTCATGCTAGGCAAGTGCTCTACCAGTGAGCCACTCTTCCAAGTCCCCAGGTTTTTAACAAACATTATCTCATTGCACAAATCTTTGCTATGTGAATTGAAACACTAGAAAGCAAAAAGAAACACTGTTGCATCCAGGCACAGTCAAAAAGGACAGTAAAATGTCAAACCACAAGTCATAGGGTGAAACAAATGGCAGAAAGTAAGCAGCTATCCACAGCCCCACTGCTAGCTGGACTGCTGGTTCTGAGGCAGAAGGGTCGCCCTGCTCTTTCTGTGTGGATCTAGAAGGGCCTGCTTTGGGGGGAAAAGCAACCCACACACACTCTGCACACGGAAGAGCCTTGTCTGTACGTGATTATTTCTCTTCTCTCTCATCTCTATGAAACCCCATGAAACAAAAAAGTGTGGGAAAGCCATTAACAGTTATTTTAGTCTACTTCCATCAGCACAATAAATAGTATCCTAACAAGCAAGATTATTCCTGGCTAAAAATGGCTGGTTTTAGTTTGCTGTAATTAAATACATTTTCTAAACAAATTATGTGCATTCATTTGTTTTCATTAATAAAAAGGACCAAAGAATGGAACTGAATGCAGAGCCTTCAGTTCTATAAAGGACAAGAAGAAAAAAGTTTTTGAATTAAGTTTTCTTTTTCTCAGCAGGAAATCAGATCACCTGCCAAACTTTACAAAATTAATAGTTATTTTAAAAATGGAAAACAATTCCTCCTCCTTTTGGAGCCATGAGTGAAGCACTAGCTTGTATTTCCTTTGGTTCTCAGCATTCCTATAGCACAGTGGCCTTTCTTGGATCCTCACAGGAGATCTAGTTTGCATATGGGGCCAAGGCCTGGCTCTGCTGGGAAGCCTTGCCCCATCCCAGCTTCACCCCACTTGCTGGAGGATGTTTACAACTACTTACATCCATCTCCAAATCTCAGGATCTCATCTTTGAAACGGGTTAGTGCAAGGAGGGCATCCCTAAACCAAAATCCAAAATCCAAATGTGCCAAGTTCCAGAATTTTGGGGGTATCATGTTGGCACTCAAAAGGCTTCAGATTTTAAGACATGTTAGTTTTTAGATTTTTGGATTGGGGATGGTCAATTGATAAAGTCTATGCAAATATTCCCAAATCCAAAATACTCCAAAATCTGAAACACTCATGGTCCCAAGCATTTCGGCCTTAATAAGTATCCTGAGAAAGGGAGGTAACTCAGGCACAGTTACAGAGTAGTGCTGGGCACGGAGGACGACCCGTAAACAACCTTACTGATATTATGTGAACATCATACCCCAACAAGCATAGGTCACTTTCATACCCAGAAAACAGCATAGGTCACTTTCCATTTAACATATGGGGCAGCCAGGCCTGGATGGGGGGATCCACCCTATCTGTGCCACAGAATCTTGTCATTCTAATCATGAAGCAAAAGTTCCCAAGGGACTCCAAGTTGCTGTCCCTTCCATTTCTCACTTTTCACTGACATGCCCTGTAGATCCTATTGCCCTGCTCATCCAGGGACCTAGGTGCTGCTTTCCAAAGGGCAGCACTGTGGGGAGCGGAGGGAACTTTGCAGGGGAAGGGCTGGGGTTCACAGTCTGCATTCAGGAATGGAGTATGGCAGCTTTTCTCAGAGTCATATGTGCTTCCTTTGGTCTTTACCCCAACATACGATTTTTAAAAAAAAAGCAGTATTCATTTTGCAAGAGGAAGAGTTAGAAAGGAAAAGAAAACAGAAAGCTGGAGCAAATTTCTACAGTGGCAGAGGTGTCAGCATCTATGAACAGAACTCGAATTTGCTCTCTGTTCCAGTGTACAGGATTCCCAATGTATACTTCATAGGATTTGAAAAACCTCCTTAAAAATAAAGTGAGAAAGCTGAGAAATGGAACTAACTTCTTCACTGTTCAGTTTAAATGCCTCTGTTTTCCCTCACTGGCTATTTTAGCATCATTTATACACACATAATATAACTTTCTAGAGAACCCAGAAAATAAACTGAATTATTTGATTATAAGCAGTATAGTCTACAGCCAGCATTTTTCGTCATTGTTAGGAACTCAAAGAGAGAGGTGCAACTTTGGTTAAGTGAAATTATGCTGACATTACATTGTAAAGCCACTGATAGATTTTGTTTCCTGAAATTATACCAATTATGCCACTGCATAGCATGAAAGTGTCAATTATCATTAAAAACTAAAGACCATGTGACTTTCCTACACCATGTATATATTTTAAATCACTTTATTCTTGTATTTGGGATTATGTCCATGTGTGATCTTTTTTTAAGACAGCATATCAAGATTTTCAATCACACTTCAGTTCTGAGTGATGAACTCTTTAGCTGAGGTGAATATATTTAAGTTACATTAATTCTATTCTAAGATTATTTTTTAATTAAAAATAAGTAGTGAATGCAAACTGGAACAGCAAAAAAAATGTATTGGCCTATATTCTTACATATGTGGGGGGTTGTCTGCCTCCAAATAAACTATATGCTTTAGAATTATAGA